CATCATACACACTGGGAAAAATCTAAAAGCTTTCGCTAAGATCAGGCAGAAGACAAAGGTGTCTACTTTCACCACTTCTATTCAACATCATAGTATTGGAAGTTATAGCCAGAGCAATCAGACAAACAACAAAAGGCATCCAAATTTGAAAGGAGAAAGTAAAACTCATTATTTGCAGATCACATGATAGTATACATAGAAAACCCTGTTGGCTAGAAACTCTCACTTCTCCTAGGTCTCTGGGCCGCTGTTCACCATTCCCTGTGCTCCAAGGAGGACATACAGAAAATCCAAAGACACATGAAATGATGTTCAATATTGCTAGCTATCAGAGAGATGCAAATTAAAACCACAATGAGATACCACTTCACACCAGACAGAATGGCCATCAAAAACAAAGCAACAAACAACAAGTGTTGGAGAGGTTGGGGAGAAAAGGGGGACCCTAGTGCACTGCTGGTGGGACTGCAGACTGGTACAACCACTATGGAAAGCAGTATGGAACTTCCTCAGAAAACTAAAAAATGGATCTGCCTTTTTGACCCTGCAGTTCCACTGCTGGGACTCTATCCTAAGAATACTAAAACACCAATTCAAAAGAACCTATGCATCCCAATGTTCATAGCAGCACAATTTACAATAGCTAGATGCTGGAAGCAACCAAGATGCCCATCAGTAAATGAATGGATCCAAAAACTATGGTACATTTACACAATGGAATTCTATGCAGCAGAAAGAAAGAAGGAGCTCCTACCCTTTGCAACAGCATGGATGGAGCTGGAAAACATTATTCTAAGCGAAACAAGCCAGGCAGTGAAAGACAAATACCATATGATCTCACCTTTAACAGGAACCTAAATAACAAAACAAAGAAACAAGCAAAAATATAACCAAAGACACTGAAATAGAGGACAGGCTGATGGTGACCGGAGGGGAGAGAAGAGGGAATTTAAGGGGGTCAGTGGGAAGGGTTCACAGGAACAAACTTAAAGGACACATGGTCATAGACTAAGGGGAGGGTGGTAATGGGAGGGAAGTGGGGAGGGTGGGAGGGGGGACTGGATTGGGAGTAAAAAGGAGAAAACTGTATTTGAACAATGATTAAAAAAAAAAAAGAATCAACCAATGAGTGCATATATACATAGAAAAAAAAAGAAAACCCTATAGTCTCCTTCAAAAAACTACTCAACCTAAGAAGTGAATTTGGCAAAACAGTGGGATACAAAGTCAATATAGAGAAATCAAGGGCATTATTTTACACCAACAATGAAATATCAGAAAGAAAAAACTAGGGGAAAAAATCCCATTGACTATAGCAACAGAAAAATAAATTACCTAGGAATAAATTTAACCAAGGAGGTAAAAGTCCTATACTTGGAAAACTACAGAATACTAAAGGATGAAATTAGGAAGATACAAATAAATGGAAGCATATATTGTGTTTATGGTTTGGAAGAATTAACATCCTCAAAATGTCCATACTGCCCAAAGCAATCTATAGATTTAATGCAATCCCTATTAAAATACCAATGACATATTTCACATCTAGAACAAATATTTTAAAAAGATACATGGAATCAAAAATGACCCCAAATAGCCTCAGCAATCTTGAGAAAGAAGAACAAAGTAGGAGGGGTGAAAATACCTGATATCAACCTATACTACAAGGCCATGGTAAGCAAAACAGTCTGACACTGGCATAAGAACAGACACATGGATCAGTGGAACAGAATAGAGAGCCCAGAATTAAACTCATGTCTCTATGGTCAATTAATATTTGACAAATGAGATGGGAGCATAAAAAGGAATAAAAATAGTCTCTTCAATAAATGGGGTTGGGAGATCTGGACAGGTATACGCAAAAAAATGAAACTGGACCACCAACTTACACCATACACCAGAATAAATTCCAGAGGGATAACAGACTTAAATATTAAGTTGTAATGCCATAAAAGTCTAATAGGAAAACACAGGCACTAATATTTCAGATATCCCACACAGCAATATTTTTGCTGATATATTTCCTAGGGCAAGGGAAATAAAGGAAAAAATAAACCCACTTCTAACAAATTAAAAGTGGGACTACATCAAATTAAAAAACTGCACAGCTAAAGAAACCATCATCAAAATGAAAAGGGAACTGATTGTATGGGAAAACAACTTTGCCACTCATACCTCAGACAAGGGTTTGATCTCCAAAATATATAAGAAACTTATACGAATCTACCGGGAAGACAAACAAACCAATAAAAAATTGGCAAAGGACTTGAGCTAACACTTCTCCAAAGAGGACATGTTACAGGGTGCAGCCAAGAGGGGGGACCCCAAATGGGCATTTGAAATGGGGTCCAGAACTTAAGGTGTCCAGGAGATTTTAAGATGTCTCCACTCCCCCCCCCACCCCGCCCCCCGCCATGGTGTGGGTTGGGGGAAGGGACAAATGGAGCAGGGCCTTTGAGAGCTGTTTTGCATAGCAACAGCCTTGCAGCTACCCTCTGGCATGGTCATTTAACATATCTATAGCCTTTGGCTGCCCGCTTAGATATGTTAAATAGCTGTGGCCATGCCCTGAGCCAGGGGAATGGAAGTAACTTCCCCACCAAGATGTGACTGGGGGCAGATCCCCCAAGCTACAGCGCCTGCACCTGCGTGGGAGCTCGAAGATTGGCTCCAGGACATGGGGCCACACCTGCCCAGACTCATGATGGCAGCCCAGTAAAGCTGGAAGGATATGAATTCTGGCATGCGAAGCCGAGTGTGGGAGGAGTCAGAAATGAGGCTGCAGAGGAAGATTGGCCGAGAGGATTTAAAACCCAGACTTGGCGGCCACTAGGAGGGAGAATCATGCTGCTTTAGGAAGGAGAGCCATGTGCACCCTGAGGAGGAGAGCCATGCGCAGCCCTAAGAGGGAGAACCACGAGGCCTGGACAGAGTGGGGACCCCCACAGCTTTAGAAGGGGGAACCACCACCTGGTTTTAGCAGAGATCCCGGTGACTCAGCTGAGGGTGCCGGGAACCCAGGGAGGTCTCCCAGTTGAGATGGAGTATTAACTGGGAAGAACCAGAGGACTGCCTGAGCCATGGGACTTCTATTTCCTTTCCTGAGATACGGTACTCTGGACTGGGCAAAGGGGGAAGGAAGGAAGGACTGTGTCTATTTGTGGGTGTTTTAAGGGACTTTAGGATTTTTGATAAAGACATTAGGTCACTACTTGAAGTCTGTATAGCATTAAATAAACATTTCCTTTCCTTTTCACGAATCTCTGGCATTGAGAGATGTCTTTCCTAGGGTGGCGGACATAACGGACCTGGGGCCTTCTTTCAATAATAGTATATTGTCCTAGGCCCCCCTTGTTGTGTGTTCTGTAACAGACATACAGAGGGCCCAAAGATAAGTGAAAGGATGCTCAGCATCACTAGCCATTAGAGAGATGCAAATTAAAACCACAGTGGGATACCACTTCACACCTGTCAGAATGGTCATCATAAACAAATCAACAAACATGTGCTGGCAAAGATGTGGAGAAAAGGGAACCCTAGTGCACTGTTGGCAGGAATGCAGATTGGTGCAGCCACTGTGGAAGACAATTTGGAATTTCCTTAACAAACTAAAAATGGAACTGCCTTTTGACCCAGCAATTCCACTGTTTTTTTTGAAACACAGTTCAAAATAACCCATGCACCTGTATGTTCATAGCAGTGTTATTTATAATAGCCAAGTGCTAGAAACAGCCTAACTGACCATCAGTAAATGAGTGAATCAAAAAATTGGTACATATACACAATGGAATACTACATAGCAAAAAGAAAAGAGAACTCCTACCTTTTGCGACAGCATGAATGGAACTGGAGAGTATTATGCTAAGTGAAATAAGCCAGTCAGTGAAAGACAAATACCATATGATCTCACCTGTAAGAGGAACCTAATGAACAAAAGAAACAAACAAGCAAAATAGAACCTGAGGCATGGAAACATGGAAGAGGCTGATAGTGGCCTGAGGGGAGGGAGAGGGTAATAAGGGTAGAAAAAAGGGAAAGGGACTAGTCAAGGAACATGTATGAATGACCCTCAGACATAAAAAAACAGGGTGAGGACTGACTGTGGAAGCGGGGCATGGGTGGAGAGCAAAGGAGGAAAAGTTGGGACACCTGTAATAGAATAAAATATTTAATAAAAAATAAGTGTACATAATTAGTACCTTAAATTATGTATTTGTTATTAGCTTAGTATTTGGTGTGCCTTCATATCAGTGGTAACATCATAAACATTATTCTAATCTTACCATTTCTGTATATGTCATAATGTAGTACCATGTGAATAATGGATATGTAAACTACATCTTCATTCAAAGGCCAAACAGAAACTTCAAATTGCCCTGGCATGAAAGCCACCACTTTATAAATAATTTAATAAAACATCCTTGACAACACAAAGGAAGCGTTGGGCAGCTGCGACCACCAAGCTTCTGTGAATGAACCCTAACTCCTACACTGTGACCCTGGATGTACCCTTCAAGCTGCTGACTATACACTTAGTCACAGAAACCTGTGCAAAGATTCTCAACAGCTCTTTTTAATGCCTTTTATTGATTGACCCCACTACACCCACCTCCAACTTGACCTGTCACATAAACTCATACAGTCTCTGATGCTGCTTAAGCACACCCCTATTTTCTACCTCTATCTACTTTACTTTGCAATTGAATCAATCTTAATGGTAACAGTAGTGCCTAGAAGATGGTTTCTTGCTCTAATGGCAGAATACCTACCTTTTCCTGATGGGATCATCAGCGTCCTTGGAAAAGAATTTGGAAAGTGTTAGTGTGCAATGGATACAATCTGGAGTGGGTGCGCTCCCTAGTGTTGTTACTTGGACAGGCAGTAACAGTCATTTCCTTGAGTAAAAAATCAAGACACATTGTATGTTATGGGGAAGCATTTTGCATACCACGAGTTTTTCTAAGTTATTACATTTAGGTACACGAGCAGAGTTCTTTTTGTTTCTTGGAATCAAGATATACCATTTTATTATGTCAAAGGTCCTCTATATCATTCCACTGACCAGTTACAACATACATACAATTAGAATTTGATGAAACTATTACTTTTGTAAATGCCTTTGTCAATGTAGTCACTCCTCATTGCAAATGTTATAGATGGGACACAGAAGTGATATGCTGCATTTGAAGAAGTATTTCTACAAGGAAAGACAATGGAAAAGAAGAGGAAACAGAGCAGAGACAGAAATAGGGACATAGTAAACAGCAAAAAAATTCAAGTAAAAGCATAGTTAAGGAAGCTGAAAATGCAGAAAGCAGATGGAGAAATAAAAATGATTCTAATTGTCTAACTGTCACAATGTTGGTGGGCACTAAAATACTGCCAGGTATTGGTTTAGACTAACTTTCCTTTGGGCTTGCAAATAAGAACATTATTTTCCCAGACCATGAAATGTTACTAATAGACAAGGGCAAGTCACATGGGGAAGATGAGACACAGGTAAAGAATCCAATGTCTTTTTCTCACTACGAACTTATAAACCTTACAAAGAGTACATTAAAAGCAAGTTTTTGAAATAGGAGAATTTAAAAAAGTATATGTCATATATTTGTGTTTCTACAAAATGATTTTCATTAAGACATCCATATTTGCAATGTATATTTAAGTGCTTTTTAATTTTTATTTGGCAAATACGATAGAGGAAAGATTTCATTGGTATGTTTAATTAAGCCTTGTACCTGATATGATTCAGGACTTTGGGAAAAGACAAATGTCTTCATAAAATGCAGTGAACACTCTCCTACATCAAGTGTCCATGAGCGATATATAGGAAGTTTTATCCTATTAATATGGCAACAGGAAAAGAGAGACATTTTTTTCATAAAGAGACTTTAACAATAAACAAATACGTAAGGGGCTGATCACTAGCCTGTTCGGTAGAAGAATTTTTGGAGGGTTTGACAGACATCTATCATGATTTGATTTGTAGCTTGGGTTTTAAGTTCTCTTTCTGGGTATCTTTTGCTTGACAGAGTCCCAGCATAGTGCAAGGTCCTGGAGAGTGTGACAGTCCTCTCCTGCCAGCACGTTGGTCCACAGAGCCTCAGTGCTTGGATGTCAGAGTAAGTGTTGATGATACTCGGAAGATCTGAGGAAGCATGTTACTAAGTTGATAAAACATTTCTTCGGAAATACTCTGTAAGAGGTTAAAAAAACTTGTTAAATCATTGCTGATTTTAAAAAATTTTTAAGTATTTTAAATTATGGAACTAGTTCTAGACATGGAGTACAAATGTAAAAATTATCTTTCATGACTGCTATTGCACAGCTATGGGCTGGGGGTGATTCCTGACCCTGTCCTCAAAGAACCTATGTTGCTTCCATCAGATGGTAGGTCTGGTGACCAGAAAGACCCCTAGGTAACACTAGTGTAATCAATAATAAAAATACCACTAATTTGCTATGGTCTGCACAGAATAAAAAACCATTCTCATTAATGCCCTTAACGAGAAGTTTATAAACTCTTCAAAATCTATGTAACATAAATATGAAAAAAAAAAGGAAAGATAAGTTTAGTTTTGGGAGTAAATAAAAAGATCCCAGGAGTGGTAGATGCTAACATCATTGACAATAAACTAAGTGTGTTTATGGCATCCAAACACTTTCCCCATAAGAAAGAGAAAGCTGTTAGCATTTTGTTATGTTATACTGAGTTTAGGGCAGTGTGCTCACTATATCCGTGAAAAGTACTGTAACAGAGATTAAATTGGGGTGAGCTATATTAAGATAACACACCTGTGGTACCAGAAATTGCACTGTCCTAGAAATTCCTCCATCCCATGAAGCCATTTCCATCATGAAACCTAAAACAGAACAAGAGACTTTGCTAAATTATGAGTCCTGGTCTTCAAACCTACAAGTCCTTACTGAAATAAACTGAATTTTCATTGTGGGGCTTCATATATTACTAACTTTTTAGGTAGTCACTTACTATAAGAGAGGCTGAACCTAAAGGACAAACTTCTGCGATCCTGAATTTTCCATGCCAGAGACATTTAACATCACTGGTCAACACACTCTTACTTAGGATTTCTCAAGTCCTATTTAGTCTTCATACAACACAGTCAAAACAGGTATTGAAGCCTAATTAAACATGCAGCTCTAATTTTTAAAAATAAAATAAAAGGCAATAAAGAACAAGCTATAATCAGGGCAAAATATAATTAACATCCAAATATCCTGTATTTCAAGAGGGTTGAATATTTATTTTGTGACTGGAAAAAGGTAAGTAAAAGAAGCACGTTATGAAATATTTGCTTGTTAAACCATTTAACTGAGGTACTAGATGACAGGAAACTTTCACATTCTTTCTCCTGGATTGTTCTCCTTTCAGTATTCGGGAGGAAGAAACAGGTCGTTGTTAAACAAAAGGTTATGCTCACCTTTGACGCACTTAAACACAAGTTCTGCTCTCCTTAAGCACCATGGTATAGTCATTTCCTAAGGGAAAAAAGCAAAACAAGTCTTGTTTCTAAAAGAACTCTGTAAAAAAGTATACAGTCAGACTTAATCTATAATGTTGATCATCCAGTTTGTGAACAGATTTAGGTAACTCAGTTAATTTCAGCTGGATTTCTTTTGATTTTTTAGGCACATGACTTCTTCCATCTGTTATACGGTACTTGCAAAATGTGAATTTAATTAACCTAGTAAGTATAATTTTTAAAACAACATTGTAGGAATTGACTGTGGGAATGGGGGCATGGAATAGGCAGAGGAGAAAAACTGGGACAACTGTAATAGAATAACAATAAGAAATGATTAAAAAATCTTTCTAGATAATTCTAAATATAAATGATGTAGAAATTCCACCTAATACTCTCAATATATTAGCATAAGTCTATTAAATTACATATGATTTGAATAAGCAATACATTAAAGTTTTTTATTATGTTTTACAGAAATAATAAAGATAAACAAACACCCCATCCCAGCCACCTAATAAACCAAATGCATTCATTTTTCTATGTTGCTGTCTAACAACCTTTGGCCCAGGAAGCACATAAATACCAGCGTCAGACTCTAACCAATACATTTATAACTTCCCACAGTTATGATGAGTGATCATACCTTTTTTAATTCTATTTCTTTTCACTATCATCAGAATTATTTCCTATGTTCCATGTATTCATAATTATAACAATAAAATGTTTATTATTTCATTATGGTGACTCTCAATCTTTTTGGGCCTCAGAATTCTTTTATGCTCTTAAAAATCACTGAGGACTCCAATGAGCTTTTGTTTATGTGTATTATATTTCCTGATATTTATTGTATTATAAACTAAAACTGATAAAAGTCTTGCTAACACCCAGAAGAGGCTAGGATTCTAGGGAATCTCCGTTTTATTGAATTAATATATCATAATTTATTTAAACAGCCCTTTATAGCTAGATTTCCATCTTTGTTAATAACATTGCAATAAACATATTGATGTATCTGCATCTGTAAATGTACACCTATCGATATCTTGTTTTTGAATAATTTCTTGGGATACTTATTTCTATAGATTAGTGAAATAAAATTTATGTTCCTCCCTAAAAGGTTGTATCAATTTACATTAGCCATTAGCAATGTGTGAATCATCAAATATCACCATACGTTCACCAGCATCTGGACATTTAAATATTACTTAAAATATTATTCAACATTATTAATAATTTAATAGATTCAAAATTGCATTATCTGATAGTTTTAAAAAAGAGACTTTATTTTTTAAAACAGTTTTAGGTTTACAAAAAAATTACATACTTTCATACTCAGTTTCCCTATTATATACACTAGTTTATCACCAAAAGTGAGGCTGTCTAGCTATCTGTCAAGAATAAAGAGAACAGACTGTATTACATAACAGCAGGGGAAATCCTTCAGCAATTCTGATTCACTATAGGCTTTCAATGAATTCTTTTCTACACTGTAGAATAATGGTTGCAGAATTACAGAAATTCTTCTGGTCAAGATCTTAAGTTGAAATAGCAAACACACACACACACACACAGCCCCATTTTAACAACTAACATAAAAAGAAATTTTAATGAAAGAACTTGTAATTTCATTTAGGAAATGTTTCTCAACAAATAAGGTTGTATCCCTATTATTTAAAGAGCCAGATGAATTAAGACCCATAGAAAGAAGCAGCTGTAGAATCTGATCTTCCAAGTACCCTACATACCTTTACAGAATATAATTACAATACTGTCAAATTGTCATGATCTCATGAAAGGGTTTCTATTTGCTGTCAATGAAAAACAAAACCCTGAATACATTTTTATTTTTTGTACTGAGTGTATTGTTTTCTCCATAAACACACTACAATAAAGAAATCATTCATAACCAAAAAGAAAAACACTGTTGACACATTATTATTAACTAAAACCCACAGTTTATGCAGATTTCCTTAGTTTTTACCTAATGACTTTTTCTGTTCCAAGATCACATCCAGGATACTATATGATATTATGTCATACAGTATCCTGGATGTGATCATTATGCCATCTTGCCTATGAGTTTCTCAGACTTGTTTTTGATGACCTTGAGAGAGTTTTGAGGAATGCTGGTCAGGTCATTTTGCAGGATGTCTTCTCTTGGAATTTATCTGATGTTTTTTTGATGATTAGAATGGGGTATGAATTTTGATACAAAGACTACAGAGGTAAAGTGTCAATTTCAATACATCATACCAAGGAAATGTACTATCATCATGATTTATGACTGCTGCTATTGACCGGGATCTCCTGGTTGGAGGTAGTAGTCTTCACATTTCTCCACTGTAAATTTATTTCCTCCACCTCCTGAAATTTCACACTGTACTCTTTAGAAAGAAATCATCCACTGTGAGCAGCACACACTTAAGAGGTGAAGATTTTTTTTTTGCCCTCCTCCTTAAGAATGGAGTATGTACAAAAGTTATTTGACATTCTTCTCTATGGGAGATTTGTTTATTCTCATTCATTCATTCATTCATTCACCTGTTTAATTAGTATGGACTCAAGGATCTTTGCTTTAGATGTTGGGTTATAATTCAATGATTATCAATTACCAAACTGTTTCTCAATCTTATTCTAATTGACCTTTCTGACATAATTCACAATAGTGACTGTTCCCTTTTTTCATGAAACTTGCTGACTCCTCTTGGGGGCTGATGTGTCATTAAATTATCCTAGTTCTTCACCAAACTCTAAAGGTCTTTGAACCTCATGCCAACTTATTGCTATGGATTCCTATCTAATTTCCTGGACTCCAATATTCCCCACCCCCAAACCATGAATTTGGCTAATTTATCTTAAGTACATTTATGATATTATATTCCTATTTAGTAACTTACAACTGCCTCCTGTTGTCTCATGAATAATACCTAAGACTTTCTTTTAGTGTTCAAGGCTATTTACATCGGGACCAAAAACACCACAGCTTCTAAACTTTTACATTAAAAAATGGTTTCACTCAAGCATGTGTCCACCTTTGCCTGAATGTGATCTGTAGTGTCTGTCACCCACCTCACCTCCTGCCACTCTGCCTTAAGCCATTTCTCCTGACTAGAGTGCCCTTCCTGTTATTTCCATCTGTTGAAATCTGATCTTCATTCTCCAATGTCCAGCTTAACTTCCTTCTCCCTCATAAAGTATTCCCACAGCTACAAATGATGTTGCTGCTCTCTGAAATCCAAAAGTGCTTGCTTTTCTTTTATCTCAACAATCACATTTTATCCTGTCCTTTTTGGGTGTGTGTGTGGAGAAGGGATAGTTAGGGAGATGCGATTTACGTTTTCTTAAATTGTGTGCTAAGGGCAGGAACCACTTCTTATTCATCTATATTACCTTTACAATACTTCTTAATACTGAGTATGTACATGCTCAAAACTTAAGGGTGAGTGAATCATTGTTTTATTTACGGAAATTTAAAAAGAAAATGAGTTATTCTATAGAAAAAAACTTTGATAGGGAACTACTTTTTGTGATCAAGATATTTTAACACTGATAAATAAAAGGGGTCTAGTTGCTGACAGGGCTAAATAGTAAAGAATCCTCTTTTCCAACGTTCTAGAAACTTATAAAAATGACTAGTAGAATTTTCTGATGTTTAAAGCTTCAAATTTCACAAAGAGGAACAGTGCCTTCTAGGAGTGCACATATGCACAGAGTGGCAAGGTTTTGTCTTCTGGCTTGCTGCACCCTAAAGAAAAAAAAATGTACAGAGAGAGCAAGGTGATTAAGACATATCCACCCACAGCTAAGACGAAATGCTGATAGCTCTTACAACTACAATAAAATCTTATGTTTTCATGGAATTTTACAATGTACATAATTTGCTTTTCACAAGAAACCTTTATAAATTAAAAAAAAAAAAAGACACTAAGAAAGGTACAGTGAACCACCCAAGGTCATGGGACAGTCTGAGACCTGTGTTTTCATTTTCTTAACAGTATCTTCTGATGAACAAAGGTTTTAAATTTTAATTAAGTACAATTTCTTGTTTTTCTTTTACAGCTTATGTTTTTTTGTGTCCTAACAAATCTTTGCTTAACCTGGTGTCATCAAGGTTTTCTTTTATGTTTTCCTCTAGAAGTATTATAGTATTATTTTTTATGCTTTAGATCTATGATCCATTTGAAGTTGATGTTTATGCATGATGTGAGTTGAAAGTCATGCTTATTTTTTCTATACCAATATCCAATTCTTCCAACACCAGTGGTTGAAAATATTTTCTATCTCCTGTTGAACTGCTTTGGCATCTTTGCTGGAAATCAAATGACCATATTATGCATGGATATATTTTAGGATTTTCTAGTCTGTTCCTTTGATTCACACAGCCAATTCTTCTGCCAATGTCACACTGTATTGGTTATCATAGTTTGATAGTAAGTTTTGAAATCAGTTGGTGGTAAGCTCCCCAACTTTGTTCTTTTTCAAAATTGTTTTGGCTGTTTTAGGTCCTACGTATTTCATATAAACTTTAGAATCACCTTGTTAATATTTTCCAAATTGCCTTAGAAGGATTTTGAGGAATATTTAAGTTTGTATAGATCACTTTGAGGAGAACTGGTATCTTAACAGTATTGAGCCTTCCAAACAATGAACACAGTATATCTCTCCAATTATTTAGGTCTTTTAAAATTTCTTTCAGCAACCAAAAGCTCAGTTCTGTAGTTGCTAGGTTACTTTTCATAGCATCTTTTTAAAAATTTATTTATTTTTACCAAAGCATCGCCGGTTTGATTCCTGGTCAGGGCACATGCCTGGGTTGCAGGCCATATCCCCAGTAGGGGGTGTGCTGGAGGCAACCATACATTGACGTTTCACTCCCTCTCTTTCTCCCTCCCTTCCCCATCTCTCTAAAATAAGTAAATAAAATCTTAAAAATAAAAAAATAAAATAAATTATTTATTTTTTATTTCTATTTTTTGCATCTTTTTACTTGAAGATATTCTAAGCTTGTCTTCA